TTTTACATTTTACAGGTTGTGATGTGAAATTAGTGCTTTTCCTTAGCATATCACATACAGTAACCTGCACTGAATATACAGCTGGGGATCTGATTGCTTTTGTAGCTTAGTGGATAGGGTGATGGGGTCCTACCATGTGACTTCCCATTAGATCATGAAATACCCAGTTATATCCATTATATCACATTTAATCATTTCCTGCCCCCTTCCTTCACATCATACACATGGCATCATGTAACAGCATGACATTAAGTGAAGATTACAGGTTCAGTAAATAAAGGCACTTGCCTTATCACACTTTGAGCTGCCATTTGAAGAGGATCAGACATCTGAGATATCACCTAGTGGAAAGTTATTTGCCTGTGCGATTTGCAGAACCACTGCAAAGCATACACATTTATTGTAATGTAACCCTTGTAAAAAAAAAAAATGCACAGGCAATTGATTGCATTGATCGGCAGCAGCATGAGTCTTGCCCTCAAGTATTCCCAAGCTACTCTCTCAGGCCCTGCAAGGTAATCCAAGCCCCACAGGTCAGCGAATTTCCCGACAGTAGGGCGAGGCAGGCAAGGCTGCAGCATCACAGTAATATAGACAAAGTAATTTGGTTCTGGGTTCAGTGGTGATTTTCAAGAGATAATCAACAGTTTTACATATATCTTTTATTTTTTCCTACAAGTTAATGACAGAAACATGGATGCTGTTTGGAGGTGTAACAAGAAGAAATCTAATAACAGTTTCAAAGCTGATAAGCAAGTTGCACCATCATCAGCTGTTGGCTGAAAGGGCTTTGACACTGAAAAAAGTGATATTATAAGTAGTGCAGAACTGCATGCGCACTAGGCTCCTCATCAGCATTTCAGAAAGAGAGAGAAAGTTTGCATCATTCTTCTCCTTGACAGGAAGCTGGTCTGCAGTATTGTGGTGTCTTCTCTTCCACAGGGGTGACTGGGAAAAATCTTTTGGGCGTCTGCCAAGTGCTTCTCAGCCCAAGCACTTTGATTCTCACAGAGTGGGTCCAGCATGCCTAGTTTTAATGATCAGGGGTTCCAAATGGAGGAGCAGTCATGAACAGCATGAGATTAAAAAGAGCAAAGAGATTCTGTGCCTTTTTCTGAAGCCATTTTCTTTGGGGCAGCATAAATTACTCGCAGCAATCAAATTGCTGTGATCCATTCAAATGGATAGGAGTCATTCCAAGAATGTGTTTTAAAGGAATAGTTTGACAGTTTGAAAAATTGGCTTCCTGCTCCAAATTAGATGAGAAGATTAATGTCATTGTCTTATGTGTATGTATGCTTAATATGGAGCTATTGCTAGAAGACTGTTGTGTTATAGCATAAAAGCTGGAACCATGGGGAACAGCTAGTCTGCCCCGTTACAAAGTAAAAACAAGCATTCTGCCAATGGTGAAGGGTAAAGTGGTCATTTACTATATTAACAGTATTTTCAACACTTTATAAGGAAACTAAAACCAATAAAGAATTGCCTCTGCTCATGATCAATCTTGTCAGTCCTGGATTAGCTCAATCCCCTGTGCCATACACCTCTATTGTTGTTCAGAAACAATTAAGAACACATCAGAGACTCACGCCACTACGGTGACATACAAAACACCAGACCCTAATATATGTTAAGAATAACCAAAGCTACTCAAGAAAAATCAATAACTCTATGTTTTTTCTGCACTGCTGAGCATTGCTTAATGCAGAGGCAGCTTAAGATATAATTCTGGATTATACAGTACCTTTAAACAATTGTACTGCCAGCTCTATTAATTCACTACTCCATAAACACAAAAAGGCGTTTGAGTTTACTCAGCAGTTCAGTTACTGCACCATAGCCACTATGGGAAGGTGTGTTTCATTCAAAGGCACAGTATATTAACTACCATGGCCAATCACAGCTAATGGAAAAAACTTATGATGAGATGAAGGGCTGATGCAAAGCACTGCTTTAATGTTTTTAAGTGAATGACACAAGATAACACCCCCACAGCACAGGAAACAAGACAGGAAAAGGGAGAAGAACAAAAAGCAACAACAGAGACTTTCTAAGAAAACACATATCATATTGTTCTTATATTTTGGCAATGACATTAGTGTTGCTGTTGAAAGTGTGCTCCCGTTCCTCGTTAGTACTTTCTCCTCAGTTCCTTGTGTAGCAGATCCATATGTTGAAACTTTGCTGACACCTACAGTTTCAAATCTGTAAGTGTATTGAGTTGTGTGCCAATGTTGGTACTAGTAACAGTGCTGGTATTTCAAGTAACAGTAATACAGGGATTTGTAGTATAGTGATAGTGGTAATAATACCTTTGATAATAAGAAGAAATAAAAAAGGAAGAAGAGAAACTTTCTATTATGAAATGTTAATACAATATTGTCATCTACTGTTTGTGAGGTATAATGCATCCTCTTATAAAGGTTACCATGTTGTTTTCTACATACTGATGTTAGAGTTGTAACTGGAATAAAAGTCTTATCTTGCTGTATGTTTAAATAGATTTAGGTCCTAAAAGTTAAATCACATAGAGTACTGTACATCCACCACTCACACACACTCACACTGTAGATAAACTGCAGTTAAAGGTCTTTCCACTTCAACTCTTCACTTTCTTCCTTACCAAATTGTACATCCTAAAGGTAGGATTTTGACATTATCCCATAATTAAGACTCTTTTGAAAGCGCACTCAATTAATTAATAGTTTGATGCACTG